TATATATATATATATTAAGCTCTACACCATCGAAATGTGGTAGTAGTTTTGAAACTGCAAGTCTTATTTTATTTCAGAAATATTGACTACTAATTTACAAGGTGGTTCACTTTTTGTGATTAGGACTTTAACCATCGATAGATCTCGTCAAAATAATGTCATTTTAAAGTATACACTTTTTCTTCCGAAGGCTTCTTTTTAGAGATATAAGCTCCCGAACAAAAATTTTTTTTTGGTTTTTAATTATTTTCTCTTAAACCATGAAAGTCATTTATTTTATATTTAGTATGAAGTATACGAATGAAAAGCTCTATCGATTTTACAAATTATTGTGAATATAGATCAATCATAGGCGTCCGTAAGGGGCTCTGATAACCCCTATTTTTTATATAATTTGTACGCCACTGAAAATTTTTCAAAATGAATAAATTTTTTTACATTGCGGTTTATTCTAGAGCAAAAAGGTCTCTAACTTTTTTATAAATGAAATGCTTGGTTTCTGAGAAAAATAGCTTCTTATGGATTCATTACATGTGAAATGGTTAAATTTTTCAGCCAAATACAGAATAAAATATTTAATATTGAGAAACAAACAGAAATAACAATTAACAATAGAAAACAAAGCAAAAAGTTTCACAACAAATGTTCGAAATGTTGTCCTCGAACCTCAATGCATTTCTCATATCACCTAATTAAGCATTGAACTGCTCTCCTAATCATATTGGGGTAGTTTTAAGAGTTTTACAATTATTTTCAATTCTTCTTCTTAACATTTCAAGAGTACATACTGGTGAACTATACACCCTTTCTTTAATAAATCCCCAAATGAAATAATCCATGGGATTTGGTCTGGAGATTGTGGCGGCCAAGCAATGGGGCCGGTACCAGGTTCTGCATGATTCATTTTCAAAATACTCTCAATGCAACGACGTGGATAGTGCTCTCCAAACCTCTGTCAAATGAAGACCATAATGATCCAGAGCGCCATCAATCTGAATCCACATATTATTTCTCCTTAAAAGTAATGGTAATTCGTCGAGTAAAGTATTTAAATCTTGTTCTTTCTTTGAAAAACTTAACCATTGCACATGTAATGAATCCATAAGAAGCCATTTTTCTCAAAAACCAAGCATTTTATTTAAAAATAGTAAGAGACTTTTTTGCTCTAGAATAAACCGCAATGTAAAAAAATATATTTAGTTTGAAAAATTTCCAGTGGCGTACAAAATATATTAAAAATAGGGGTTATCGCAGCCCCTTACGGACGCCTATGATTGATCTACTTTCACAATAATTTATAAAATCGATAGAGTTTTTCATTCGTACACTTCATACTAAATATAAAACAAATGGCTCTCATGGTTTAAGAAAAAATAAATGAACATCAAAAAAAATCTTTTTTTCAAGAACTTATATCTCTAAAAGGAAGCCTTTGGAAGTGTATACTTCAAAATGACATTATTTTGACGAGATCTATCGATGGTTAAAGTCCTAATCATAAAAAGTGAATCGCTCTGTATAGATAAAGTGTAGTCCTTCCTGGCTTTGATTTTTGAAGAACAAGATATTAAACTTTAAATGATCAGTAATGCGCTACAATTTGTTATCCGAATAATTTACATTTACAAATCTTTCTGAATGAATTATTGCTCCTTTTCAGTTTACAAGATATCAAAAAATTAAATTCTAACAGTCACTTTATCAATCAAGTTGCAAACTTCAGTAGACATTTTTTAGTATAAGAATTTGGAATGTAATATTCACTGAGGGAAAACTACCAATACCAAACTACCAATACGAAATTTTTTTAAAGATAATCTGAGTATGATTCGAATAATTCTTATTTAATTTTACATTGTCATATACCAAGCCTATCAAAATTACGTTTTTATACCTTCAGTAGGTTTTACTTAAACAATAGAACACTTTCTTATGTTGGACAAGTATAGTTCTTCTGTCATTTATTCTACTAAATTGCTGAAGGTTATCTACAAAAATCTAAGCTTGTCCAACCTTACATTCAAATAACGTGTATATCATATCGCTAATACAATTATAATTATAACCAATACCAAGTAACAAAATGTTATATAAAAGATTAGAAGATTAGAAAATACAGATACAAATAAAATATGCAATAATATGTAGGAGTATATCGAATGCCATAGTCTTTTAGTGATAGCATTTATCACCTAGGTAGCAACTTTAAGATAATTTTTGCTTGCTAATTTCGCCCGATACGTTTATTTTAATAAACTATATCTAAGCATTTTCATCGATTTCTTCAATTACAATGAGTATCTAATGCATATATGTCTGTACCTCACAGCCAGACTATGTTAAATAAAAAATTTGGTATTTTGGTTGTTAAGGTATTGAATTTTGATAAAGTTTTATTAGATTTATCCTGTTTCAGTGTGTCTTTGAAGTTATGGAACATAGCCTATTATAAACTAGATTAAGTCCATTTGTCCACTAAGCGCAAATAATAATACTAAGGCCCAGTGCAATTATTTATCGCGCGATATTGACACCATGGGATTGGCAGCAAATGGTTTGACTGCCTCACAAACAAAAACTATTCACTTTTTACTCTATTTTAAAAATAGTGAAATTAAACAATGTTCTTCAGTGCCAGAAATCTAGGTACGCAAAAGATATCCAACAAGACTCCTAACTGCTGATACTGAGATACTGAGGGAAACAACTACTCTATGGGCTCCATCTAATATTGGATTACATTCCAATAACCAGTCAACGGCTAGTGATAAATAATTATTCAAAATAAAAACTAAAAATGATATGTTCAAATATAATTAATACAAAAAAAAAACATACCTGAAATTTTGTAATAAAATCATATAAAGAAGTAGTTAGTAGTTAGTAGTTTTTATTATTTCATCACTTTCGACAAAGTCAGGTTGGATATGTTCTGCATACCTAGATTTCTGGTATCGAAGGCATATTAAGAAAAATGTATAAATATTGGCTTATAATGGGTGTTCCAAAATTCTCGCAAGATTTGTTTTTTTGAGCCATTTGTGCGGTAAAGTGTTGTCAACGAAAAAAAGAAAACAGCGTGACACCTGAAAGTTTANAAAAAAAACATACCTGAAATTTTGTAATAAAATCATATAAAGAAGTAGTTAGTAGTTAGTAGTTTTTATTATTTCATCACTTTCGACAAAGTCAGGTTGGATATGTTCTGCATACCTAGATTTCTGGTATCGAAGGCATATTAAGAAAAATGTATAAATATTGGCTTATAATGGGTGTTCCAAAATTCTCGCAAGATTTGTTTTTTTTGCGCCATTTGTGCGGTAAAGTGTTGTCAACGAAAAAAAGAAAACAGCGTGACACCTGAAAGTTTAGGGTTATTAAAAATGGAGTGCTACATGAAAGAACGACGCGTTTTTATTATTGAGCAATATTTTAAACAATAATGATGGTTTGGCAGCTACAACTCTTTCAAAATATCTAAGCAGTTCGTGAGAGTATTGCTGAGAGTCCAAGAATATCAATTCGGCACCGTGGTCAAGAATTGAACATTTCGAGAAGCTCTCTCTATAGCATATTCTCACGAAAGATTTGCATCTTCATGTTTACAAAGTTCAATTGACTCAAGAACTGAACCCTACAGGTAACGCAGAGCGGAGAAAGTTCGTTGAACAAGTGGATGTTAATTTTTCAATAGGTATCATCTTCAGTAATGCGGCTCATTTTCATCTGATGGCTTCGTTAATCGATAACATTGTCGCAGAAAATCTACGACTGATTGTTGAGAAACAAATGCATCCACAACGTATCACTGTTTGATGCGGATTTTGGGCTGGAGGCATAATCGGGTCATTCTTCGAAATTGCACAAGTGATTTCAATAAGACGGTTCTACATGCCTGAGAAACATTCAACGACTCATACCTGTTCGTGTAATTTCCGATTTTGGTGATCAAAATTGGTCGCTCAGATCTTTGAGATTTTTTGAAATATAAGGTTTGTGCCAACAAGCCCTCAACCATCCATGCCTTGAAGGAGGAAATTGAGCGCTGTATCAACGAAATTCAGCAGCATTTATGCAAAGCGTTCAAGGAAAATTGCAACAAAAGAGTGCATAAGTACCAGCAAAGCCGTGGAAGCTATTTAGGTACCCGATATGATATTAACCCTATAGGTACTGTATACTTCATGTATCAATAAAAATTTCGCAATTTTTAATTAAAAACCTGTGTTTTCTATCAAAATTACTTCTTGCGGGAATTTTATAACACCCTTTATTTGATATTTTCAGGGAGGTCCAAAAGTACCGGAATGGCAGGATGTCTGGGAATATTCAAGGGGTTGAGTAAAAGTAAAGCACGAGGGGCTTAGAATTTTTCTCTGGCTATCTGATGGTGACCTTGAATTTAATTTGGACCATGACCATCAGAGTCACGCCATATCAAGGTCACGAGAATTTTTTTATATGGGATCTCATAACTTTGACCCCGGAAATAGAGAGCGGAAAATTTTACGTTCGGATATGACCTTGAAATGATCATGAAGGTCAAGGTCAAGGTCAAATATCGAAAAGTTCCAAAGTGGCCCAACAGTACCGGAAAGGCAAAATAACCGCCAGAAAAAATTTTCTCCACAATAGTTCTAGGATTCTTGATGATCACTAAACGGGTGACCATGAATTTGACCCCGCCCTAACCTCAAATTCCTTATCCTCCGGTCATTTCAAGGTCAAGTTGATTATTCCGTTACCATCGAGGGCAATTATTAACTACCCAAGACCGTCTATTATCCTCAGTGACCACTGTTGATTTTCAATCACCGCCTTTTACCTTTGGTGACTGTTGCCTTTAGTGACCTCTAATAACTGACCGTGGACGTATGTTGTCATCGGCGATCACTATTGGCCAACAATGACCTTCCATTATCGTTGATGTTTAACCTTGATCTTGACCTTCATGGTCATTTTAAGTTCATATCCGAACGTAAAATTTTCCGCTCTTTCCATTTCCGAGGTCAAAATTATGGAGTCCCATTTAAAAAGAAAATCGTGACCTTGATATGACCTTGGAGGACACGGTGTAGGTCAAGCTCACCATCGGATAGCCAGGGAAAAATTCCACACTCCTAGTGCTTTGTGTTTACCCTACCCCTTGAATATTCCCAGATATCCTGCCATTCCCGTACTTTTGGATCATCCTGTATATATTTTTTCATGGAATACAAATATACAAAATTTCAACAGGAACTATTGCGTAATTTGACAGTAACAAAATTTATTAAACTTAAAGTTTAAATTACTTCTCCTGTAAAATATATTTCTTGGATTTAACATAGTTTGTACCTGCAGTATAGAATTATTTAGAACAAAAAGATGCCCTAGTTTATAATTTAAAACCTAGATGTTTTTGGAAATCTTTTTTCGGTATAAACATCAGGCTCGATATCAGAATACAAAGAGACAGTGTTTATAATTTATTAGGTTATTAAGTACCACTAATTATTTTTTAGGCACTTAAAATATTTGTGGCGGTTAAGCTTTTGATTAATAAATGTGGATACAAATTACGATTAAGACATATAATTGTACGCATGTCAAACCACGTTTAAATAGCTCAATTGAACTCAGGTTCAACATGAACTTATTGATAGATATTAATTGTCCAAATTGAAATTAATCTACTCTTGAGAAACTAGCACTTAATTAAATATGCATGACTAATTGATTACGATGCACTTTTGTTTAAAAATGCAAGGAGATAAAAATGAATAAATATTTATCTACACAACTAACTTATTTATTGTACAATTTTGATATGGACAGGAAAAAATAATGAAGGTGCATGATAATAAAAATAAAACATATGTGGGCACTTATTATCTTGAATCAATAATGCGTTATTTACTTGATAACTTCCTTACTTTAAACAAAAATGTTTTAGTGATAAAAAAGTTTAGATTATTAAGTATAAGTAGCCGTTTTTTCTTCAAGTTAAAAGAATAGGATTAAGTTGGCCATGACTAAAAACAAATGTACTCCTATAGAGATCCTAGTGCCATCTGGTGAGAAAAACAAATTCATATAGCCGGTATGATAAACAGAAACATAAACATTTTCTATTTCTGAGATAAGCATAACAAACTGTATATTTTTATAAAACAGGGGACTAACTAGTTCATTAATTAACTCCTTTTAACTAAGCCATAGCCATCTATTGAAAAAATATATAAAAATAACTTTGAACTGTAACTCGAAAATCGTTAAAGCTATTAAAAGAATAAGTATGTCACTGAATTATACACAAAAAAATTTGTGGAGTAATATGTTAACATTTCATATTACACAGTAGTCATTGAATATATTAAAACTTTAATATATTTTTTTTGCTACAACTGAAAGCACTAAATAAATATCGAATATATTTTGACAAGAAGATTTCTCAAAAAAGTGGTCAATGTTCCGCGATAATCACAATTTTCTATCTTCAGGTATGAAAATTGATACTCATGTACAGTGACACCAATTTTGTTTCACTTCAATTACAATCAGAACATAACTAACTATCAGAAATTGGAGTGGCAGAAAAGGAGACACATTATTATTCTGTAGGTTGCATTAGTTTTTGTTCTTTAGTGATTATATTTGATTTTTTTGACAGAATTTGTATCGCACCAATACTTACCCAGAATTATGCCGAGTATAACACCCAAAATGGTAATCAATAGTAGCAAATTGTCCAGAAGCAATTTCTTTGTTCCCGTCAACTCTTTGTTTTCACCAGGCTGTTCTGTGCATTCCACTTTCGCGTCATTGGTGTCTGACGACATTTGAGCAAATAAGTAATCTAAAATACATTAAAATTAAGATACACAAATTTTAGTAATGTATAGATGTGAATAGTGAATGTATTTTATATGTACAGGCTGGTCCATTTTCAGTGGGATTTCAGGGTATCTCAGAAACTACTAAAGATATGATAAATCTGACACCACGTTCTCGAGCTCGATTTTCATGACAAACTCGGCTGTCAAATCAGAAATTTGCTATCTTCATTTGTTTCTGAGTTACAGGGCGTTTCTCGTTATTGTGACACTTCTGAATATGTCTGTATCTCAGCTGTTAAATAAGGTAGAGTTAAAGTGAAAACTGCTCAAGACTAATTCTCTATATTTCTTATATTTCTTTCTGTATACCTACCATTTGATATACATAGTAAATAATAAAACATTTCATTCCTACTGGAATAAATACATCCCCGAGTGAAAATTACCATGTCGGACTAGCTTGGAAGTATAAATTATTTAATTATGCAAATATTACATCAGTAGATGTCGAACGGTCCTTCTCTTCAGATTAAGATTAAGAAAAAAGGGTAGAAACAAATCTGATGATGCGATCTATAACGGATCCCATGCAGATTGTGAAACCGATGGATATAGCAATTTACATGTGTCACAATAACATAAATCTTATAATCATTGTTCACTTTATTTTAAGTTGATGATCCGCACGCATTTGGTTCGCGACCAATTATGACAGCTATAATGATTAGGAACCACCGAATAACAAGTTTCAGCCATAATTTTTACATTAGCCATATTGGATCCGCAATATTTTATTCAGAAATTTTTGGATTCGGACGCCAGATCGTAATCAGCGACCCCAAAAACCTCCGGTATCTAAATTCAGGCAAAAATATTGAATAGAAGACTGTGTGACTTAAAGGGGTAAGTGGGACACTGGTCTGTAGATGGTTTCAAATCCTTTGAGGGATGTTATATCATATTTTTATGGTATGTAAAATACAAGGCTATGGTTTTTCACATTGTTATTTGATCTTAGGACTGGAACTAACTTCTCGCAGGGGTGGGTTGTATTTAATTTGCATATATTTGTTTCTAATGCTCAAAACATTATTTAAAAAGTTTTCTCAAAGTATTTACAAATTGTTGTTTTTCATTATAAAGGTTTACCTTATCCTCACTATTTCATCATGGTTTTTGAGCTGCAGATTCGTATTCAGCATCAAAAATCTTTGTACTCATATCTCTATACAAATTTTATTTTGTGCAGCTGATCGATTTCGCAAACAATCAAAAGATTTTTTTGGAAATAATTTATTCATTCTTTAACCAGGTACACACGAATACGAATAAATGTGTACAAACGAATACGACAAATATCATGCAAATATACAAATGTAGATTTTTTATCCATGGTTTTTTACCATGTTAATAATAATAAAATAATAAAATCTAATTAATGGAGGGCAGAGTAATATACTATTTTTTAAATTCGTAGTAATCTGCCGAAAGAAATTCTTATTAATTAAATCAAAATTATTTCATGTGTGTCAAAAGTATTAATCCATAAAATTAAAATTTTCTGGTATACACAAACAATACTACCTAAGTTTCGTGTAATATTTGTATTTAAACTTATTTGGGAAGTTCTTTTGATAATAAACAGAGTCCATAATAAACGTATGCGCAATTCTAAAAATAAATATAATGTTTTGTCTTTATGTCTAAAAATATGTTATTATTTTGGATCAAAACAAAAAAAAATAAGAAGCAAAGTTATTTGTACATTTCATACATATACGTATATTATTACTTTAAAGAAAACTATTGACAATTTACTACCATTTAACAACTATATGTAGTCTAAATAAAATACATACTTACTTAAAAATAATGTAATATAAATGCCACAAATTTCATTCTACCACATACGATAAAATGGTTCTTCATAAAATAAAGTTTGACCGTCTTAATATAAACTACAATAATTCACAGTACCTCGAACTCGAGTTAATGGTTATTTTGGTCTTTAACTATGTATACCACACCTGTTACTGTTTACAGAACATTAGTAGATACTCTAATAGGTACTTGAGTTAAACTGATTCCAAATACTTTGTATCGGGTTAAAAATATATCTAAATGCAACTTTGCAACAAGGGAGCGCAAAGCGCATAATTATGAATGAATTTCGAAATTGGTTTTCAGTTACTAATGAAATACTGGGTATATTTTCTACTCATTTCTAAAAAAATTCAATCGAGTGATTCTGAAAACCAATTTGGTTATACTTTCACCGCCTTAAAGCAAGTACCAACTATTCTGTAACACATGTTTTTAATTTCATGTAAATGATTTTACCAAAAGTACACCGAGTTTTTCTATATTTTACAAAATTTGTCAAAATTCTGTCTGGCATTTTTATTAAGTGAAATACCAGTATGTTTTTATATACTTGCCTAGAACATTTTCGCATAATTACAATAATGTATAGTCTTTCCGAAGTCAGTTGAACATGTGAAAAAACGCCTGGAGTTTCAGAGGCGTCCCTAAAAAAGTTTTCTGATAAAGGTAAAAAATTATCATAATTTGTATATAATGTGCAGACAATTTCTATTATATGTTCATTTGTCCAACAACATATTTTAATTATTTATGTCCTCAAACTATTTTATTATATTGATGGTAAATTTTATATTGTTTTGTTTCAAAAGGTCTCCAAAATACCATGCTGTAATAATATTATTTCTCCCTTTCGCAATTGTACTATCAGTGATTAATAGAAGGTGCCTATAATAAATTAAAATTACCTGAATCACACCAAATTCCGCATTGCTGCACTGCACTGCTGGGCAATTTGTCGACCACTTGTCAACAGCTGAAATTTATTGCCCAGAGGCCCAATGCAACTATATTTGAATTTCGTTTGCCCGCACTCGCATTCTTTAACTGGGCGTATACTTTTCTGCCACCTCCACGTTTAGTTCGACAAGACATGTATATGGGTATGGCTAAATAAATATGGGAACAAGTTTTTCAAATGCCGAGTTGCTGCGTCAGCGACCGAACCTGGTACATACTCTGTCATCCTCTTGGTTCTTCAATTGAAATCGGAAAGACTATACCTAACTCTAACATGCATTCTCCACGCATACGTGGATGAAAAGTTCGTAATCGTTGGCAAATATTTAAATCAACACAAACTCCAGCTTCACACGAGTTTTTCTTGTTCGAATATTCGGTATTCGAACAATTTATACACGTATGTGAATGAAAAGTTCGTGTTCATTGGCAAATGTTTGAAACGTTTCCTACTTACATCAAAGAACTCCAATCATTTTTCAGTTTTGGTTACAAATATTCGGTTTCTGTTATCTGCTTTAAATTGTATGAAGTAGTAAATTATTTTCATGGACTAGTTTGTATTTTTTTTCACTTATGTGATATATACGAGAATAAATAGTATCGTAATAATGGCTGCCTTCAACATTTGTATTGTATTTGTAATTTTTTAAATCACATTTCTCTAATACGGACTTACGATATTTGTGAATAATTTAATGAAAGAGTTAAAAGATATACTTCTAAGGGGTATAGAAGAGTACCCCTAAATTATTAAAATTCCAATCAAATAAACGTTTATTAAAAATATCCAAAAAAGTTTATACAGGGTGTTTGAAAGACCTCCCGTAAATAGAGGGGGTGATAGTACAACAAAAAATAAGAATAAGCTATATATCGACTCATGTCTCCATTTTCACTCATTTTGAATTTTATCGAAGACACAGCTGGCGAATGGTCAAGGGTTTCTGCAGATTGAAAAGAATGCGTAGCTTGCTATACGCGCCTTACGATTTCGACTCATTTCAATTAGCTGGTTTTATATCACGATAGTCATTTTACATTTGGATTGCTAGTGCTGTAGATAAGAGAAATCACCTCTTTTCATGAGGCGTAACTTCTAGGTCTATAACTTTTGAAATATTCATACATTCTTTATTAAATAAAGCGAGGCATTTATAAAATAACAGTACTTTTGTATAATTTTCTTAGAATTAGGACAACAGGAACTACAGTTGTTAAAACGAATTTCAATTGAATAGTAAATCTAGATCTGAACGGGATTGGCGAAGAAAAGTAATAACAAATAAATTTCATAAAAAGTATATAAACATAGTCTAACATTCTACGTTACTGGTTCCAATAAATTAAAAAGAAAGATAATAGAAAACTTTGTTGAACGTTAGTTTTTGAAGTGTCTGCCAGTAGATTGCAAACATAATCGTACTTTTTTTTTAACTAACCTACAACACAGGTCAACAAGAGTCAAGAAGCAGATAAACTAATATGCATTCCCTAAGGATTTTCGCGCGCTGAATCCGAATCTGGTCGCAGAATTGCTCTATCACGTCAGGTTTTTGAGATATCCTAACTTAAAAGTGCAAAAAACACTGTTTTTCGTCATATTTGAGGTTATATAGTAATGTCATCTATTCTTTTTTTTAGTACATATAATTTAAAAGTACAAGGCTCCCTCTTTCGAATGCCGTTGAGTTTGCTCAAATATCTTTTTTTTTTTCGTTGAGATGTCACACGTTGAAATTTGAAGTTTCTGAATTGCAATCGACTGCTTGATGTCTAAGGGATCCTTAGCAGATTTTCGCATATTAAGAAACTGAAAAATTTTAACATGTGATATCTCAACGGAAAAAAAAAACATTTGAGCAAACTCAATGGCATTCGAAGGAGGGAGCTTTGTACTTTTAGATTCAATGTATTAGTTTTTTTAAAAAGAATAAATGGCATTACTACATAACCTCAAATATGACGAAAAACAATGTTTTTTGCACTTTTAGGTTAAGATATTTCAAAAACCTGACGTGATACGGCAATTCTGCAGCCAGATTCGGATTCAGCGCACCTAAATCCTTCGGAAATATATATTCAAATTTCTGCTTCCAAAAAACAGTTAAATTTTGTGGGTCTGTGGCAATTTTTGGTGTTTTTTTGGTGTCTGATTATTATTATTTCTAAAGTTTTG